TGTGGTGCCTCCATGATCCAGTCACCTTCCCAAACTCCCACCTCTGAATGAATGAGATTTTGAGGAGAAAATTTAAATCTAAATTTATAACATATGGGCACACGGGGAGCCACCTACAGCTCTAGACTCCCACCCTAACAGCTTAGGGGTTATAGGGGAAAAACATTGACTTCAAAAGTGGCTCTTGGGCCAGGGATTTAGCTCAGTGGTTGCGCTGCCTGCCTCGAAAGCACAAGGACCCGAATTCAGTCCCCGGTACCAAAAAAAAAAGTAGCTCTGGCTAGTCACAGAGAAGCCATGTTTGGCATAACTTAGGTCGTGAACCTATCTTTGAACTGATCCTTTGTTAGGTAAGAGTCAGTAATTCTCAATTAATTGTCCATTCCTGCAGGCTAGAAGGCTAGGGCAGGAATTAGGATTGACACCCACACAGACATACAGGGTTGAAGGGAGTGTGGTCATTTCCACAAAGGGATGCTGGCCAACAGAGCCATGGAGCATCTTTGACGTATCATCATATTGTGCCTCTTTAATAAGCAGTGGTGAGCTGTGGGTATTATCTGGAAAGATACCTGTGACACATTGTGGAAGTACAGAAAGATGTTTACCAGAGTAGATGTAATAGGATCCAATTTTAGTTTGAGGATAAAGAAGATCCATAAACCTTGGAAAAAAGCCAACTAGTAGTAGTTATTTCTAGGTGGTAAAATGAGGAATTTTTTTTTTCTTATATCTTTCTCTATTGTCTGAAAAAAAGTTTTACACTGAGAATGTATTTCAGTTATAATCAGGAAAGCTAATAAAAGCATTTGTATTTAGGGGAAAGAAAAGCTTGTTTATTGCAGAAATCTTGGTAAAAAAATCAATGAGGCCTGAACTAAGAAAGACGGAGAAGAGGGAGGAAGTTGACAGATTTTGAGAAGCTAATGGCCCCAGGACTTGGAAACTGACTGTAAGGGCTGAAGAATGAGCCCAGGCTAGATATGTGGTGTCTGCCTTTGATGACCAGACGATGTGCATGAAACAAAATTCTTAGAGGTATTTGTTACTTACTGGTCATAAAAATAGACCTTGGAGTTTTATACCATTGAAGTAAAGGTACTTTATTTTGACTTAATAAAATTTTTGAATTATATTTTAAAGAAGACATTATTACTGCTTGGTAGTATAATGTGTACTTCATTTATTAAGTAGTTGGTAAGCTCCCGAGAAGCAAAAACTCTTATGTTGTAATCACTCAATTTCTAGAATATAACCTGGTTTGCAGAATGAGTGCTCTAAAATTTTGACATTGAATGGATTACTCAAGCTCATCTAATAGTATTTCTTTCTTCAGATGTTTATCATTTCCTTGTGTTGGAAAATACTCAAAATCCTCTTGACTGCTTTTGAAATATAAAACCAATTGTTGTCAACTTTGGTTACTCTCCTGTGTTATAGAACATAAGGACGTAATCCTTTTCAGCTGTGTCCTTTAGTAGTAGTTCTTCAAAGTAGGCATCATGATTTGCTCAGGGAATGCATCAAGCCAGTTTGTAATAATTTATAAACAGGTGGTTCCCCAGTGCTTAAGTAGTGCTTTTCTTAATAAGAAGTTTGTCCTAAACTATATCTATAGTAAGGTCATTGTAAATGTTTAGCAAATTTCCTGTACTTTGTAGCATGTAAAAAGTTCAGCACAGTCCCACATTGGAACAACAGAAGTTCATCACAAAACTTTGAGCATATATAAGTGTGTGTGTATATGTGTGTTTGTGTGCGTGGGTGTGTGTGCGCGCTTGCATGTGCATGTCTATTTTGGTTTATCTTACGATGTTATTTTCCTCTGAAGCATGGTTTACCACTATAGTTCAGAGTCCTGCAAATAAAATATCTGGGATATGAGGCTGTAAATTAGAGTGGTTTAAGGAGATTGGAACCAGCCATTCTGGCTCTAAAACCCAGCATTTCCCCTTCATGGCATGCAGACTTGAGTGGTTTAAATAATTCTGTTTTCTTACTTCAATAAACATGTTATAGGGCTATTGTAGAATAAAAATGAAAGAGTTGTTATAATGTGCTTAGCATAGAACTTAAGACAAAGAACTCAGGTATCTGGTGTTTTTTCTTAGTCGTGTTTATTTTCTAGGATGGACCGATCACTCAAAGTACAGAATTTCCTGCATCTCATTTATGATAGGATTCTTTGATTTATCTTGAAATGTAACTATCCACTCTTTGAAATCTTGCAACACAATTAAAGTTTGTGTTCTCATCTTAAGGCAGAGAAAAAGAGAAAACTTGGGCTGAGGTCAGATCTCAATGGAAAGGTCAGTCTAGATCACATCAGGCTGGGCTTACAGCTTGCTATTAATTACAAGCAACATGGGGAGCCTTGTGTTGAGACTAGGGTCCTCTCTGCAGATGTTACCAAGCAGGCGACAGCTGCTGGTCACCCCCTTGGAAGCAAGGTACATCTGGCCTGTAGTTACTCCAAATCACCTACTGGGGTGAGTCAAAGCTGAGTAAACTGGCACATTGCTAAGATTTGATGTCCCGGAACAAATTCAGCGTTACCTGGGAAGAGTCCTGGAGAGGCCGCGCTGGTACTCAGGTCTGAGCTCATTAAATCTGGTGGTGCCCGTTATAAGCATGTGCTGTCCCAAACCATACAGGTATGCTGTTGCTCCTCAAGTTAGCATCGAATAGTGGGAGGAATTTTGATAGCAATTGGGTGAAAATTTAGAGGAGAGCTTGTAAGTGTAATTTATTCTTTATACAGTGTCAAGAGTTGACTTAGTACCAAATTACAGTCGCCGTGAAGCTAAAGTTTGCCATTTCTCACAAGTTTTTGGAATAAATTGTTTCCTTCCCACCGTCTCACTGCTCAAACTACTAGCTAGGGGAATGAAGATTTAACACCGAAATTTATACATGTATGTATTATTTGTAGGGGTGGGGGTTTAATGGTCCTTTGATTTTTGACTTCACCTTAGTACAGTATAACGTGAAATACGACCCATTAAGTATTTTACATACTAACATACTAGATTTTTCAAGTATCCACATATGGACTAGATAACTGAATGTCAGGGGGAAAACGTCTTAAGAATGGAACTTGAGGTACTACATAAATTTTCTGGAAAAAAAAATCACCCAAATTTAGAGTATCGGGTTCTAGTTCAGAACTTTTAGAATAACAAAAAAGCTTTAGGAAGAGACTTCTTTAGTTGCCTGAATGACATTTAGGATGCACACAGATTCTCTTGCACCCCTCCCGCATTCTCTCTCAAATCCCCTCTTCTGTCACCTCTTCAAAAAGGGAAAAGGAAAAAAAAGGCAGCTGTTGCCTTTTGTTGGCGGGAGAATTTATTCAATAATTTACTTTTCAGCCAACTGCAGCCCTTGCCCTTGCCTTTGCCTCTGGGCACTTGTTCAAAAATACAGAAATGAAATAACAAACTGGCCAGACCGCACACAACTCCCCAGTCACAACCCTATTATCTCCTTGTTCTGTCACCCCCATTAGGCGCAGGCCTGGGAGACAGGATGGTGACAGCCCAGTATTTATGCTGCTCCTGAATCTCCATAGCTTCAGGCTTCCTGCCACAGACCCTCTATTATTCCCCACACAGGACTATTGTGCGAGAGGTTGGGTATCTGACTTCCAGGCCTATGCCTCAGGACACCTCAGCAGGACTTCCAGGGCTCTGGTGCCATCTTCAAGCCTGGGCCAGGCCTCTTTTGTCCTGAGAAAACCAGAACAAGACAAAGGGGCACACCTCCCTGCTTGTGAACCACCCTCCTTCCTGTGCGTGGTATAGTTGGGACTGCAGTGTATGGATTTTACTGAATCCTGAGTATATCTCAACTACCAAGAAGAATTTGGTTTCTCATTATTTATAGCTATTCTATTCAGGTCAGACCAAACAGCAGTTCCTTCACACTGGCTACGTGTGGCTTCTGCTGGGCCATCTCCTGAAAATCTGAAATTTCTCTGAAGAGAATAAAGATGGAAAAGAGGGCGGTCTCTGTTTAATCAAGAGAGAATTGTTTTTTGATAATTGACTTGTGGTGGTAATTCTTTTTAAATTATAGGCAAGAGATACAAATGTTTCAGGATGCAGTAGAATCGTTTCCCCTTTGGTAAAATGTTAATAGACATCTCCTTTTTCTATTTCAAATTAGTCTACCCTGAAGGCACTGTTCTTTTGCAGTGGTTGTTTGTTTGGAGTAGCTTTTGCACTAGTGAGCTTTACCTTTATTCTGCCGTCATTCCATGCCCTGTTCAGTATAGCCCCTTAAATTATAGTCCCATGTCATTTAACGGGGCATGTTCTGAGAAGTGCATTGTTATGTTATTGCATCATTATGCCAGTACTATAGGACATATGGACACAAGCAAAGAGCGCTGTGATGTCACTTGGCCAGATAATCTTCTGGGACCACCATTATATACTCAGGCCATCACTGACTGAAATGCTATGCAGCACACGACTGTACATCTTTTATTAATAATTCTTAGAGGAGATGAAACTTTGGGCAGGTGCTATTCAATTTTTGCCCCCAACCCCCTTTTACCCAGTGGAAAGTAAACACAGCCAGAGTCAGATCGGATTGTGCATGGACCCTTCCTGTTCAGAAGCACTGATCAAACCCTGACCGCTGCAGGTTTCTGGCTCTTTTAAGAGTTGAAAGGTGAATGAAGGAGTGTTTCCCCAGAGCCTAGCCTTTTGCTGAGGGAACAGGAAAGAGAAGGCAGTGCTCAATGATTTTTAGACAGATAAATTTTCCCTTAAAAATAGCAGGACTTTGTTTAGGTTAATCTATCTTAAACATGGATCCTGAAATTCTCATGTGAATCTATTGCCGGCGTGGCAGAGAACAGTCCCTCAGCCCTCCCCGGTGAGGAGGAAGGTAAAGTGAGTGAGAGTAAGGAGTCTTGTATTAAATCTGTAACTGTCGCTGCTGCTACTTGCTGATCAAATTCTAACGGTCCTGTCTTTTGCTTCCTACATCAGCTCACACCCCAGACAACAGCTTTCTGGGCTTTGTGGTCGAGCAGCACCTGAACTCCAGCGACATCCATCACATTAACGAAATCAAAAGGCAGAACCAGTCCCTTGTGTATGGCAAAGTGGATAGCTTCTGGAAGGTGAGTCAGCTGTGTGCATGTTGCTCCCTGAAAAGAAAATGGTTGGCTAATTTAATTTAACTTTGATGCAAGGAGTAATCAAACCAAGTGCCCAGGGCTTAATGGGATGTATTCAGACGTAAACAAGAATGTTGAGGGGTTTGGTTGCTCCAGCACTTGGGCATCTAACTGAAGCTTGGTTTCCTGTCTGCCATTACACAGTGGTACAGCAAGCCCTTTCACTCCTTGCTGGTTGCACATCACAGCTTCTTTCATGTCTTGTACAGCTGGCCCCCCAGCCAGGGTTTCCACATCCACAGATTCAACCAGTTGTGGATTAAAAATCTGAAAGAAAAAAATGTATCTTTACTGAATGTGTACATTTTCTTTTCTTGTCATTCCTATAACAATACAGTACAAAAACTATTTACATAGTGTCTGCATAGTGTTATACATTGTAAATAATGTAAAGTGATGTTATTGTACTTTGGTACACTGAGACTTTAGTGTACAGGAGGATGTGCATGGGTTCTATGCACATGCCATACTATTTTATAAAAGGGGTTTTGAGCATCCTCCGGTTTTGATATTTTGGGAGGTCTTGGAACAAATCCCTGCAAATACTGAGGGGCACTGGTACTTGCTTTTGAAAACCATGGCTCCACAGGTCTGGGTAGCTCTCTAGACCTGGGCACTGCACAGAGAGACTGTGGTGATTCTTTACTCCTGCCCTCTGGGCAGCAGGCTGTGAAAGTGAACACTTCCCTTCTCGAGGAAGGCAGTGTTTTTGCAGTGTTTGCTCCATAGTCAGGAAAGGAATGCCTACCAGGGCTGACTGTGGGCAGAATTGCTCAGGGAGGTCTCGGGTGAAAGAGCTCTTGACTATAAACTAAATTGGGTTTTTCCAAAGCACTTGGCTGTTGGGCCCTGGAGGGCCCCTTCTGCCCTCCTGGGATGATTCCAGAATGCACCTGGGAAGATACAGCAGTAAAAGAATGGGGTCTGGTGTGACCTGTTGACAGGCAACATAAATATTTTTACATGGCAAGTAGACCTCAGTAGGAGATGGGATCATTTTGAGGAATGTTTTATAAGACAGAAGCCTTTGGGAGGACCTATCAGGCATGGTGGTGCATGCCTGTAATCCCAGCACTCAGGAAGCTGAGGCAGGAGGAGGATCACCAAGAGTTCAAGACCAGCGTGAGCTACATACTAAGTTTATAGCCAGCCTGAACTATATAATGAGACCCTGTCTCAAACAAACAGATGTCTCCAGAACCTAAAAACATGCCTCATCCTAAACAGTAGAATTAAATCCTTTCCAGAATGATCATAAACTGTGGTCATCCTGTCTCCCTTACCGAGCAACACAGTGTTGTACAGGGTAAAGAGTTCTTGTAATCGCCTTTCTGACTTCCTTTTCAGAAAAGAAGGATAGTGCCCCAACCTTCAGCTCTACAAAGCTAACTGTAGCAGAAAGACAATGAAGTCAGTGAAGTTGGCCTGTTTCTAGGGATGCTGATTTAATTCCAAATAATGGCCTTTGTTATGAACAGCTAGATTCTGTCTTTGTTTCACACAGTAATTCTCAACTGGTGACAGTTTTATTCCTCCTTCTCTGGAGGGACATTTGGCAATGTCTAGAGATAGTTTTGGTGATTATATCTGGATAGTGGTGCTGCTGGGATTGTGTGGATGGAGGCCAAAGATATCATAAACACCTTATAAAGCACAGGACCCCAGCACTGCTATGTGGTACAAAGAATTATCTAGCATAAAATATTGGTAGCACAAAGGTTGAGAAGCTCTGCCCTGGAAAATGAGAATTATTTCCTACGTATATTATAAGTTGAATATCCCTTGCCCAAAAAACGCACTGACTTGAGACCACAGGGTGAAAAATTTCACCCCTGACCTCATATGATGGGTTACTGTCAAAAGTCAGGTACACTAAAAATATTTGTATGAAACTCCCTTCAGGCAACACATATAAGGTATATATGAAACAAATATGAAGTTTGGGTTTATACTTGGATCCCATCCTCAAAATAGCTTATGTTTATGCAAGCATCCCAAAGTCTGAAATCCAAAACACTTTTGGTGCCAAGCATTTCAGATAATGGACACTCAACCTGTGTTCTACTCTCTCTTCAAGTACAGTAAAATCGATGTAGGTTATAATTAGCTATTTGCGATGTTCCCATTAAAAAAATTTTTAAATTTTTTATTATGTATTTTTATTAGTATATGTTTGCAGTGCGTTTATTATGGAGAGTTTGTACATAACACAGTTGAATTCCTTTTACCCCCTCCCTCCCGCCCCTCTCTGCTCTCTCCAGCTCTTGATCCCCTTCAGACTTGAAAAAGCTGCTTCCATTTTTTCTTTCTTTCTTTTGTTTTTGGTACTGGGGATCAAACTCAGAACCTTTCACTTAAGAGGCAGGCGGTGGAACCATTCAGCTAAATCCCCAGCCCTTCTGACTCTTTTTTTAAGTCCTTTTTCCCTTTCTTCCTTCCCCCTCTCCACTTGTTCCCCTTCCCATTTGAAAAAGATCTCTCCATTTAGCTATTATGTATCCTTTATTTTGCTCTTGATTTATATTTTGGATTTCTCATATAAGAGAAACTGTGCGATATCTAAACTCGTGTGTCTGATTTATTTCACATAACATTATGGTCTTGAGGGTTATCAACTTCAGATGCCTCAAGTTTATCCTGCTTTATGGCACAGTACTACTCCATTGTGTATAAAGACCACATTTTCTGTATCTGTTCGTCTGTTGATGGATATATAAGTTGTTTTGTTTCCCACCTGTCAAAATGTTCCCCATGTTGATGGCACATTTTTCAGCTGAGTTTCAGCTGAGCTTGGGCTAAGAAGGGCATGTTGGGGGTTCGCATTCTCAGCTTGGTTGTGATGTGACGAATCATGGCGCTGGATTTAGGAATACTTGGGTCCATAAAGGGTGCGACTGGCTTCTCCTCTGTGCAGCTGTTTGGAGCAAATAGCTTGCATGTCTGAGCATGTCTTGCAATTATATCACTTCTGTTTTGGAACCAAGTGCAGCCCTCTTCTGAGTGTTTTTGCAACTTTATTGTTGTTTTTATTGTTTGTTTTTCTAGAAAAACAAAATGATACGTTAGTCCTGAATGCTTTTTGGTTACCTGTTTTGGATAAATTAATACTGCCACTAAAATGAATTCTTTGATGCCTGTCAGATTCCCAAAAGTGTTAACCATGTTCTTTAAGTGATTAGAGGTGTGATTTGGAAATTCCTCTGTATTTTGTAAAACTCTGCAGGTAACTAGCATTCATTATACCATTGCCACTCAGAGATTGCAAAAGGCTTGTGTCATTGTGTCTATATTCATCCTTTTCTGAATACCAAAAATCAAGGGTATTGTTTCAAAGGTATTATTTTATTACATCATTCCAGTACTCCATGTTGGAAATAGCCCTCAAAAGAAGAAAAATACTGGAAAGTTTTCACATACATTTAGAACATCATCTCCAACTTTTGAACATAGATCAATATTTGAGACTCTAGGGGTTTTTCCCCCAAAATATCTCCGTTGCATAGCATGTAGTGAATATACTCAGAAAACAGATGTGCCTTATAAGTGAGATGTCATTCCAACCCCAGTTCCAAAGCTTCATTTAAAACCCAGTTAGTGGGAAGTTTTATAAATGACTTTTCCCATCCATTCATTCCCCACATCCAGTCCCAATTTGTCTCAGAGATCTTCAGGAAGGAAATGACATCTGTTAGCTCTGGGAGATTTAGGATATTAGATGGGGCCAGAGTTCGGACCGGATCATTGCATAAGGTCCTGCTTCACCCTCGGATTCTAGAGCTCACTGAATTCTGAAGGGACTTGCTTCATCCTCACCACCACTCTCCCTCTTGAGGACCTCTTCTCCCCTATCCAGGCCCCTGAGTGAGATGTGCCACCGTGTGACTCCATCCAGCCCAGGCTGATTGGACTGGGAAATTGTTCTCTCACTTGAAGCAGTCCAGCTCACTGACGTTGGAACCAGGAACCTGACTCGGAAAGCTGAGCTGCGTCAGTGAGATTCTTCCCTTGGTGCTGGAAACAAAGGGACACTAAGAATAACCATAGGGACAGAAATAAGGATGTGTTGGAGTCATATTGAGGCCAAGGCAGAAACCTGGCAGGAGTCCAGATGATGACGAAGAAAGCAGGACTGATGTTGGAAGAGACAGAACCCTGTTGAGAAGGTGAGAAGCACCCCCATAGGGAGGAGGAACACTGTCATGAGAAGTGCTGGATAAGAAGGAAGACACACAGATGCGACAGAAAGTAGCTGTTTCTTTTTCCATATTGTGTATCCTTTTCTAACATTTTGTTCCTTTATAGCAACTGAGTGCATTCTGGTCCTTATATTCCCATCACGGATACCTGCTAAATTGGATAGGTCGTCCTATGTTCCAAATACCTGTCAAGAAACGTAAGTCTGATAAATACAAAGGCTTAGGAAGGAGTGTTTCCCTTTCCATCTCCTGCCTCTGTCATGACCACAGTGCCCACGGGTCTTGTCCTGATGTTATAATGTGTGATGGAGAGATGGATGAGAGAGAAAGGGACCTTGCTGTCATGCTGCAGAATCCAGAAGGCACCAAGGTAGGAAGCATCTCTCCCTGAGACCTTCAGCATCAGATGAAATTGCTTACAGCCTTTTTCCAGGTACAAGACTGTGTTCTTATCCCAAGGGCCCACAGCTCTGGGCTCTTGGCCTCTATCTCTGGGACAAGCAGAGCATTGGTCTGGCTACACCAGAGATGTACCTAGAAAAAAATATCTGTCTTCAACATCCTGTTACCCAAAGTTGTCGGAAAGTGGAAAATTAATGACTTTTTAAAAGATAAGTGACTTTTAAAATAGAGAAATTAAGTTAATTGAAGTCTTAGCCATGTGCAGTGGTGCATGCCTATAATGTCAGCTACTCTGGATCCTGAACCAGAAGGATCACAAGTTCAAGGCCAACCTGGACAACATAG